TTTAGCTTTGGGGTTTAGGGTTTCGGGCTTAGGGTTTCGGGCTTCGGGTTTAGGGTTTAGGGTTTAGTAATTAGGGTTTAGGGTTTAGGGTTTAGGGTTTAGGGTTTGGGCCATGGAAACTTGGCTCTTAGCCTTGTCTGTCCTGGCTCCTGCAGGTCTACAACGACAAGAAAGACAAAGGTCAAGGTGGCAGAGAGGGTCTAGGGTTTAGGGTTTAGGGTTTATTGTTTAGGGTTTACTAGTTGAAGGATTTCAGTGCAAGGGCTCTGCTACAACTGCATCTTAGCCGAGAGCTGGGGCACTCTCAGCGCAAGGCCCGGAGTGCGACTATGGCTTCAAGCTGATCATTATCGGTGATGCAGGAGCAGGTGCCTCGTCTACCCGTGTGTGTCATGATACCCTGAACTCTAAACCCTAAACAACAAACCCTAATCCCTAAACCCTTAAACCCTAAACGCGTAACCCCTACGCCTCAAAGTCTAAACTCCTAAACCCTTAAACCTCAAGCTGAAGTGACTCCAAAGGCCATGCTCTGCCTTTAGAGTCCTTGGAGGCAAGAGCAGCTTCATGCATCAGTTCCTGGAGGGGAAGTTCCGGAAGCAGTCCACGCACACAGCCCGGGGCCCGGCCTGGTGGTAGCATTACTTGGAGGATCATGGGACACAGTAAGTCAGGTTATAACTACCTTAATTGGGGATATACCTACTTATAGCTATAGTTCCGTTATTTCTAACCCCAGCTGCTAGGTCCCATGATCCTCCAAGTATAGTCTATCATTGTGGGACAGCATTTTGTGTCAGTGCTCCTGAATCCTGCCAAAGCATTGAGGGAGGCATTGCGGTCGCGCCTGTGATCTCAACGAGTGGATGGGGGAAAGCCTTTTAGCCGTGTTGTCCCGGTGGTGTGCTGATCTCTTCGTGGTCTGCTGGTGTTCTCTAAGTGGTCTCCTGGATGGTTCCCAAAGACTCCAATATCCCTTAATTAAGGAATATACCTTAAATTATAATAGGATCCCTAATATGATTTAAGGTATATTCCTTAATTAAGGGGTTTTGGAGGCTCTGGGTTTTTTGGTCGTCGCCTGGTGGTCTCTGGGTGGCCTCTTGGGTTCCCCTGGTGGTCTTCTGGTTTTCGTGGTCGTCCTGGGGTCGTAGGGGTCGTCGTGGTCGTGGTCGTGTTTGGGGATCTGCGCCCGCAGAACAAAGCTCCGCGGATCGTGAAGGCTACATTGGTCTTAGATAGCCAATGGGAGAACTGTACGCTTTTTGCCCTTATAATAAATAAATAAATAGATAGATAGATAGATAGATAAATAAATATATATATATATATATATAACTATATATATATATATATATAGATACACACGAAAGTTTGAACTTTGTTGGGCCCGGTTATTGAAGAAGAGAGTTGTTCTGCTTGCTGCACGCCGAAGCCAAGAACTAAGCCTGTGCCCCAAAGCTAGCATCGGACTACAACACAGGCCCAAAGGCGAAATTCGAGAGATGCAGTGTACAGACGGCTGTTGCTTCAGCTCGCAGATTGGCGTGGAGTTCGGCACAAAGATCATTTCCCTTGGGAACCGGCAGATCAAGTTGCAGCCAGTGCCCCAGAGTGGTTCCGAAAGCCTAAACCCTAAACCTTAAACCCCAAGCCCTAAACCCTAAACACTAAGCCCTAAACCCTAAACCCTACGCCGTAAACCCTAAACCCTAAACCCTAAGCCCTAAACCCTAAGCCCTAAACCCTAAACCCCAAAACCTCAACCCTAAACCCTAAGCCCGAAGCCCTAAACTAAACCCCAAACCCTAAGCCCTAAACCCTAGACCCTAAGCCCTAAACCCTCAACCCTAAGACCTAAACCCTAAGCCCTAAACCCTAAACCCCAAACCCTAAGCCCTAAACCCCAGACCCTCAACCCTAAAACCCTAGACCCTAAACCCAAAGCCCTAAAACCTAAGCGGGTTCTCGGCTTCCAGGCGTCTAGGCCTCCCCCAGAAAAGGTCTGGGGACGATTTACAGCCTCCCACAAAGCCCCACTTGCTCCGACATCCACCAAACCAAGATAGCCTTACAGAAAGCCCATATGAGAACTCCCCAACACAGCCCACCCGCTATGGCCACTGAGCCAACGCCGCCGCTGCTGCCCTCCCAGACGTCGCTCTTCTGGTCCAGGAGCCTTGGATTAAGCGCATCTTGGATGGCGACAAGATCTGGGAAATGCGAGGCTATCGCTGTTCGCGGCGAGATCGGATCGCGTTGGCGTGTTCGGGCACGGGGCTACTATATGGTGAAGTCGACATTGTGGATTGCCTTCGTGTCGGCTGCTTGGACGCAGCCGGGACCCTTGTCGCGAATGGCCGCCACGAGGACTTGATGATGCTCCCGCTGGACCTTCCGCAACACGGCCTTTCTATCACCGATGTCCGAGCCTTCGGGTACAAGCAATGGTGGGCTTGGGTGCTAAGTTCGCCACGGCGATACGATGAGCCGATACCGTACAATCACCGACGAGGGGCAGTGAGCTGGGTCAAGCTCCGCTCCACTCCACTCCCGCTGTCGAGGAGGAGCCCCGCCAATAATTAGACATCGAAGCCATTCGCTCTGCAGATGTAGTTGAAGCTTCACCTCAGAACGCACGTCACTGCCCGCCATTGTGACAAAATGGGACTGGAATTGTCTGCCTTATTACCTGTTCAGCGGTCCGACGTGCAGCTGCGTCCGCAAACACGACCGTAGCTGTGGCAGCCGTTCCGATCAAGGATTTCAAAAAGAATCTGCTTTGAGCCTGCCTCCTCGTCATGGGCGGTGGCCGCAGCGGCAAATGGCAAGGGCAGCAAGGGGCAGCGACAGGCCTCGAACGGCATGGCAGCGAAGACGAGCCGGCGGAGCATCTGCGGCCGGTGGATGGGCGTTGGCGCCTGAACAAAGCCAGCCTGCGACCTTACTTCTACACCGCGAGGCAGCAGTCGGGCACGGATTTCCTCAGCCTCAGCACCGTGGCCAAGGCCCAGCAAATTTGGACGACTGAGATCTGTCATCGCCCTGGAATCGCTCTCAGCGAGGCCGGCAGCACGATCAATATGGGCAAGAGCTTGCTCCTCGCTTACGCCGCAGAGGACGCGACGGCTTCAAAGATGCTAGAGGCGGAGGACGGCAAGAAGTCCTGGCGGCCGCGGCTACCTTTGACAAGTTCGACGACTCCCCCAAGCAAACGGCTGCTTTGGACACGGCCGCCAAGGCATGGGTAAAGTTCTTCAGCACCGACACGAAGAGCAAGGCCAAGCGAGTGCAGCGGGTGGTGAAAACAGCGGCGAAAAGCTATCTGTTCGGCTTGGAGCTGCTGCAATGGCTGGCTGCTATGGAGCATCGGGATGGCTGGGCTTCGAAAATGAAAGCCACCAAAAGCCTGCAGCCGGAGAAGCTGCAGAAGTGGATCCGATCGCTTTCGGACGATCGTCGGCTGATGGAGGCTCTGCTGTCTGCGTACCGTGCACAGGTCGATGTCCGCCCGGAAGGCAAGACTCGTCAACTTTCCGACAGTGACGGGAGCGAGCAGGCCATGGCCAAGAGCACTTCGTCTTCCCAGAGCGACAGCGACGCCCGCCGCGGCGAGAAGCGCAAGAAGATGGCTAAGAAAGACAGCGATTCCAGCAAGGACAAGACAGGCAAGAAGAAGGAGTTGGAGCGGCGAGGTGTGAAAGACAAGAAGGAGGACCATCCCAAGAAGAAGAAGAAGGCTGGCAAGGAGAGCCCCGCGGACCCCCCAACCCTTCACGATTTGGAAATGGACAAGGGCTTGACCCCCCCAACCCTTCACGATTTGGGAATGGACAAGGGTTTGACCCCCCCCAACCCTTCACGATTTGGAAATGTACAAGGGTTTGACCTTTCACGATTTGGAAATGGACAAGGGTTTGACCCCCCCAACCCTTCACGATTTGG